GCTTGGACAAATATAAAATGCAGTCCGTGTAGTTCTGCGAACTTATACCGAACACATATTGAATGTTGTGGCAGCAAACGTGCCGGATACATCGACGAACTCTTGTGGAGCGGCTCGATATGTGTGTCAATTATCCTGGACTGGGGAGTGCTGCACTTTAATTATTCATATCTGCCGCAGTGGCAATGGTAATGTTATAATGAGCACAAATAAATGATAAATTATGCAGAGGCGTGTGGTGGGACAGGCTCCATGAATGCCAAGGCATCTTGTAAGCCAGGCCAGGCCAGGCCAAGCCGCCACAGTCGGGCAATTTGGCCAACATTTGCAGCTGTTGTCGCCGCTGCATGATTTGCATTAGCCACACCCAGCACCGCCCCCCGAGAAGGCAGCAGCTCCTTCGATTTGCTTGCCACACTCTCTTTTTTTTTTGTGGGCCATGCGATGGGGTGGCACTTTACTCCTTGGTATTTTTTTTTTTGTGTTGGTTTTGGTGCTGGTGGCGGCGCATGTTGCACGTCATGTTGGCCATGTTGCAGCTGAGCACACAGCGCGCCCACTGATTTATGACCCCTGAGTGTTTATTTGCTGCCTGTGTCCAAAAGTTGCCTTGCACAGATTTATGTGCGCCGAAAGACAAACCGCATGCAGCATCTTAAGGCAAATAAACTGCACTAATAAGTGCTGGAGCGTCCAGGAGTGGCAAGTGGAAAGTGGCAAGTGGCCGGGGCTGCCGGAACTGCCACAGAGTACAAAGCAATGCACAAAACAAATGTTGGCCAAAGTTCACAAAGTTTTGGGGCCAGTGGCAGCATAAATCGTTTTATTGAGCGCGTCAAGCAAAAACTTGCAGCAGCCAGAGCGACGAGTCAGCAGCCAGCAGAAGAAGGGCTAACCAGAAGAAGGGCTAACCCAGCAGAAGGGCCAATAAAGCGTAAAACTTTTGCGAAGCCAGTCCGAAAATAGGCAACAGAGGGCACCGCTCAAAAGTCTGGGCTGTCTCTGCCTGGCCAATTGTTAATGGCTAATTATTTGTAGCTAACGCTTTTCCAATGCTGCTGCGCCTATAAAAACCGGAGACAAAACCAAACATTTCTTGGCAGCCCATTGGGACACACACACACACACACGAGCACAGTAGAGTCCGCAGAGTGGACACGAAAAAAAGGGAGACACCACCGACAAAAAAAATGCACATAAATTTTACTTAGCCAAGTTTGAAAGAGTTTCGCCTGCCAAGTGGCAAGCAAAGAAGTGGCAAGTCAAAAGAAGTGCAAAGAGCGATAACAACAATAAGTTGCAAGGATTCCGCCAATGCACAATGCACAAGTGGCACGATAGTTGGCCATAGTTTTTCCATTGGCAATGCAGCAGACAAACCATCCCCATCCTCATCCCCATCCCATGGCTCTCTGATGAAACACTCTCAATAGTTGGAGCCCGTTTACTGTCAGCCTATAAGGGATGGCAGGGGAACGGCAGGGAAGGGGTGGTGAGTGAAATTTATGCCAGTTTAACAAGCAGCTAGCAACAGCCAGGTTCCGTTACAGTTTCTTGCAGCAAATAGGCATAAATTTGCATTTAATGTAGTCGACAAAAAGGCCACAAGAGGCCCGGTACCAGTACCAGGACCCGGGCTGGGGTGAAAGCAAAAAATGAGCAGCACAAATGCCAAAAATTATTCTGCTATTTAGTATATAATTTCCTGGAATAGTCTTGGCCTGGTGTTGGCTCGGGGTTTCTGGTGTGGTGTGGTATGGTTAGGTCCGGACCTGTCCGGTCTGGTTGCAGTCGCCAGGTGCCATTAAAGCCGCATAAATTTTTTAAACTTTTGCAAATTTGCAATGCAAATGCCACACACACACACACACACACACAAACACAAACACACAGAAACAAACACACATACATATGCAGCAGGCATCGTTTGTATTTTCGCGTTCTGCATGTGGTTCCGCAAAGCGTTTGGGTCAGTCTATTAAAATGCAAAGAGCCGCCACTGGTCGCTATACGTCCCTCTCTGTCGCTCTCTCTCTCTCTCTCTCTCTCTGCTCTACGAGTATGGCGCGTATGGCGCTGTATGGCGCTCACTTGCCGGCCGGAAGTCCATTTTGTCTTGTCGTTCACATCATAAATATGGCCGGGCAAATGGCGGCTCTGTTTATGGCTTAGCCCCGTCTATGTGTGCTGTGTCTGTGTGTGCTGTCTGTGTGTGTGTGTGTGTGTTCTGACGCTTTTAATGACAATTTGTTAAGGTTTGCATAAAGTTTGAACGAATTTCATTTGACACATATTCCCGACTCCGTTCAGTTTTCGTCGTGGCTCTTCGTTTTTACTCAATTTTTCTTTGCCTTATTTTCCAGGCATAAATTTAAATAATTTTCCCCTTGGACGCCGCTTTCGCTTACATTTTGCCAGTGAAATGGTGTGGAGTGTGTGGTTTATGACACGTTCGGAGGACGACATTGGCGTGGTCGCCTCTTAAGGAAGGGGGGCAGTGTTTTTGCCAGTTTTCTGCTGCGAATGGTCACGACTGCTGCAAATCCCGAGTAGCTTTCGGGGCTTAGTCCATCACTCAACCATCGAATTTTCAATCAATCTAATCGTTACGAATCCCCCCCTCCATCGGGGGTTCGCTGGCCCAGTCGCTGTCTTTTCACGCTGTCATTTGACGCACCAGTCCAGAGCAGGCCAGCCACAGCGCGAATGTCTTATTTATGCCCCTCGCCAGGCCTGGCCCTGGCCCTGGCAATGATAAATTTATGAGCCCGAAAGTATTGCTCTATTGTACATTGAAAATCAAAGTTGGTGCATAAAATATGCCTAAAATGTTGGCTAGTTATAGTTGTAGTTGTAATTTCATGCACCCAAACAAAAATTAAAGCACATTCGAACCGGAAATGGATATTAAATTTACATATTTACACACCTATACCGATACACTCGTACGATTTTATTTTGCAATGTTGTATCTTCAAACACGTTAAAGGAATAATTTAAATGGATTTTTTTCAATTGAAAAAATCAGTCAAAAAATATTTAATTTTTTCGTTGCATGCACTCGTATTCGTATGCATGGCCACACACTTTCATTTTCAGTGTGCGGTCGTTCTTCTTTTTTTGGTTTATTATTTTCCACACGAATGCTTCGGCATGACAGAAATTTACTAGTCGAAAAAGACACAACAAATAAATAAAAGGAGCAGGAAAGAAAAGCAAGGACTCGGAATAGGGCTAGGAAGACGACGAAGACATCGACAAAGTTGTCGAGTCTTCGCCCTCACTGCTTGTCACTTAAAGCGAAAAACAATTTTTCTCTAGCTGGAAAACTGTGTGTGCTGTATGTGTGTGTGTGTGTGTTTGAAAGCTATCTGAAAACCAATTTTCGTTGCTAAATTGATGTTTATAGCTATGTACGATGACGACAACGATGAGTATGAGGATGAGTATGGGGATGATGCGCCCGTCGATGGCTATGATGGGCTTGTTGTGGCCACCGTTTGTCGCCCCTGATGAAGACAAAGTGCCAATGCGAACAAACTAAACGCCAAGGCAAGCCGAAAGCAAGCCAAGTAGATGCTGCAAGCTGAAAGGCTGCGCCCAGAAAGCGGCAATGAAAATCCTTTTCGACGAGACGCGACGCGACTGGAATCAACTCAACTCTCAACTCAACTCAACTCGACACGAGACGACTCGACGACTCGACGCGTCTACCGCCCACTATCTGGGAGCTCGGTTTGACAGCATTTTGATGCTTCCGCTTGTAATTTATGTGACACTTGCAGTGCCATAGATCAGGGACTGGCTGGCTGCGGGGGCTGCGGGAGACTGGAGCGGAGCGGAGCCGAGGAGCCATGACACTGCTGTTTAGTGTGGTCGTCGTTTTTATGAGGTCCTTTGTGCCAGAGCTTGATTTCCTTGAGCAAATTTGATCAATTGAAATAAGCGATAAGAGAGTGGCAACGACAGGTATTCATGCCCCACTCAATGGACTATTCAGCTAATTAGATGACAAAGGAAATGGATACGAATATATGTATGTATATGTGTGTGTGTATTGTCTGTATGTATGGCTAATGCTTGCCATGTTCAACAATCACTCTGCTGACGCGTGATGTTGCACTTGCCGCGCACAATTCGAGTTGCATATTAATTGAAGCACACACACACCCACACACACAGAGACACACACACACACACACACAAATATATCCACGGCAGTCAGCAGACATTTGATGTGGGTGCCTGTTGAGGGTGTGGTGCGGTTGGAGGGGTTAGCTTTTCACGTCACGCCTCAGCTGCTGCCCTTAACGTACTGAGTCATCAGCCACTTGCCACTCGCCTTCTGCCTCGTGCCTTCATGCCTCCTGCCTCCTGCCACTTTCCACTCTTCATTGTGAGTAATTTAAAACGTTTGACTGCGTTCCCCCCCCTCCATGCACTTCTATTTCCACTTGCCATGAATGCATTTGAAATGCTTTTCTCGTGCTTACAGCCCGATGCGCTCGAGTCGCACCCCAAGTTGAGTGCTGCACTGCCACTGCCACTGCCACTGCTGCAGACACTGACATTGCCATTATCTTGGGCATATGTCTAAGTCAGATCAAAGCCATAATGCTGGCTGTGCTGCGCGAGTGGGGGGGCATGTGGGGCATAAGTGCAAATGACAGCGATATTAGGGGCAATTAGATGCCCGCCACGCCACTGCCGAAGAGTATCATGAGAGATTGCTATAAAATCTCATTCTGCGGTGATCAAACAGGCAAATCCACAACCCCTGTTTGCGTTTGAAATGTTAGAATTATTTAAAAGAAAACAATCGTATGCGTCAGCCGCATTTGCCAACGAATGATGTCAAGACTTTTGTCAGCTGCTTGAACAGCCGTTTCTTTCAATTAGATTCAGTGTCACCGATGATTACAATCAGCTCAAGGGCAGGAGATTGAGCCCCCAGACAAAACCGAAATGTATCCGCCGCTGGTTAGACATTTGATCGGATCCGCTTGCAGCTGGCGGATAGAAGGAAAACTACGAGCATTCAATGAATCTGCTAATCTGCTGGATGTGCTCCACGCTGCTGTGCTTGGCCAGCTTCGGTTCCATTGCTCCTGTGAGTGGCATGTTCTTTGAGCTGCCGGACAGTAAGGACGATGATTTCATGGGCGGTATAAGGCAATACTTTGGCAGCCTCACAGCAGATTCTGGCACTCCAGACACGAACGCCGGCCACAACAAAACAGCCGGGCCAGTGGAGGAATCATCAGGCTTTTACGATGAAGTGGACACGGCACTCGAACATGCAACAGATACCGTCGACGGTCTCTGGCAGCAATTTAGAAAGGTAAACTGAAAGCAAGGAGAAGTGGAGTTGGTGGGGCAGTGGAGGCATAAACATCGAGCTTTTCGTGCTTTACAGGGTCTGCTTAGTCTAATGGGCAGTTTCAGTGGCGGTGATGATGGCAGCGATGGCGATGTTCCAACGTCGACTCCCAGTTCGCAGCAAACGAAGCCAATTTCGAGTGAAATGTCTGCTATTTCAGGGACTACAACAACGAGGCATCCAATAATAAAAATAGCAACAAATAAAGTAATAACAGATGCAGATATTCCACCAAGAACAGCAGCAACAGCAACAACAACTATTGCCCCACTGGCAACAACAACCATAGCAACAACACCAGCAGGAACTTCATCGACAGTAACCGCTACTACAGTCGTCCCACCCAGCTTCACCACCACGTTTGGCCCAATGTGAGTCTAGTCTGGTCTGGTGTGGAAATAAATATTCCCTCGCTTGGCCTTCACATCGGATATTGCTCGTCATTGTTTGCTCTCCACAAAGGTACGCGTGTATGTATGTACACGAGAAGTGTAAATATATGGCAATTGTGGAATTGATACCGCTGCGTATTCTTTCTTTATTTGCGCAGATGTCGCGGGACCCCGACCCCAATGCCAACGCGTTGGTCCGTGCCATCATTCGCTGATCAGTCATGATTCGGTATCGAGGGTGCTTGTCTGCTTTTCTTTTAATGTTCCACGCTGCGGAGATTGTCCTGTCGGCTCCAGTCGGGACACCGCTGGATCTATCAGATCGTTATGTGACCTTCGATTTAGAGTTTGACAGACAGTCGGACGACCTACCACAAGAACTGGACCTTCAACTGCTGCAAGAGCTACACAGTCAGAATGGTGAATTTTTCATTATATTTAAAATATTCGCCCTAACGCAGAATGTCGTCTAGGATTGGATGTAGTCCGCATGCAGTTGCTCCAGCTGAATTTGATGAAACTGTTGGTCGTCTTGGACGTGCTCATACTAATATGTGTATATTTTTATGCCACGAAAAGCAGTCAGCATCAAATCTCAATTGTAAGCTAAATATAAATTTATATAGACTCACTCGACAAAATAGCAATGTAAGTAAATAAAGAATATTAAAGAATAAGCAAAAATATTCCAATATAAGTAAAAACATATAAAGAATATTAAAGAATAAGCAAAAATATTCCCTTGCCATTTCAACATAGATTTAAAAATTATACCAATATATTCGTTCCGAGAGTGGAAAATTTAAAAAGAAACATTTTTCGCTTACATTTTACCATTAATATAAAAATATTTGATTTAAATATATTCAATATTTAAAAAGAAAATATTTTTTAATTAATTATTTTTATATTTATAAATTTAACGAATTAAAATTATTAGAATTATTATCAAAAATTAAATTGTACATACTAATTTAGACATTCAATTTTTGTCTCTGTATGGATAACTTATTTAAGCACTTATTCGCATCGAAATGTATTTAGCATAGTGTTCGGCTAATCAATGAGGCCATTATGTCCTCCGCCTATTTAATATAAACAGTTTTTGTATTATTATGGCCCCATTCACGGCTGGTCGGCTGCAGTTTGTGTAGCACCTGGGCAAACTGCCTCCCACTTCGCCAACTGTTACCATCCCCCCCCGCAGGAAAATGCATTGCTAAATATCGACAGCAGTTGGCTCTATGCGGATGTTTGTTTGTTTGCCATTTGAACTTTTGCTTCATAAATATTAACGGCTATTAAAACACACTGAAATAGTCGTCGGATGGCTGCAGGCCAGGAATTAATTTTAAATTTTAAAACTAACTGCATGCAATTTACGCGCAGTTTTGCTGGCTGGCCCTGGCGATCGTGCTGGTTGTGCTGGCCAAAAAGCGATTGCAATGCCAGCCCCAATCATCAGGTGGTTGGTGGTTGCTGGTGGTGGTGGTCCGAGCAAAGGGCCAAGTGTGAGTCGTCTCGGCCTAATGTTCGTTTAATTAAAAGCGGAAATTGAGCAAGTGAGCAGGGAGCAGTGAGCGGGGAGTTAGGGAGTCAGGAGCCACTGAGTAAGTGGAGCACCAGTGACCAGGCAAGCGTCGAGCCGTGGCCAAGTGTCCAGAGTGGCCCGGCAGCAACTTTTTACCAAGTTGTAGGAAATATTAAAAACGGAAAACACTTTGGGGCAACTAATTCTCTCTGGCTTGCTTTCGGCTGCCCTTTCTTTCAGCACACTCTTTTGCCTCTCTGTTTTCCCATTATTTTATATACGTTTTTTTTCCATCTTTTTGGCAGCTTTCTTGAGCACAAGTCGTTGCTGTCTGGGGCACTTTAGGAGTGAAGAGTGGAGTGGCGTGGCATGGCGTGGCACGGCATAGAGTGCCAAAGGAAAAAGGAAGCAAGGCGGCGCAATTAGCAAGTTTACTGCATGAAATTATGAAACGCTTAATAAAAGCATGCTAGAGAAAGGGGGCAGAAAAAAAAGCGAATATTCGCACAATATATTAAAACACACTTCCCCATACAAGTGCTGGCAAGTTAATTAAAAGGCTCGCATATTTGAAAAGTTTCCCCCAACATTTGCCATCGCCAGAGCCATCGTCCTGGCCATCAGCATCATCCAGCATCGCCATCGTTCTGGCCATCATCCCCATCATCAGTGTCAGCATCAACATCAGCATCCACATCAGCATCAGCATCAGCATCAGCTTCGGGATCGGGGCTGGCTGCAATTTAATCATGTAAGTGCTGGCAAATTGTTGGCTAAAATTAGAGCCAGACAAATATTGCGCATACGCCTAGTATCCGCGTTAAAAGGATGTGTAGCTTTGTAGCTTCCGCCTCCGGCTTTCGCTGCTTCCACTCGCATGTTCCCATCCGTTCGTTGTGTTGTTGCTGCTGCTGCTGCTGCCGCTGTTGCCAAGTTTTATGCTAATGGTTTTCGTTTAAAGCCAAAAGTAATTTATTGTTGTCAGCGGGCGCCATCAAAAATGTTGCTGCACATTCATTATGGCCAAATGTACATATGTACGCTACATACATACATATGTATGTATATGCCCCTATATTATAGGCGGGTCTGTGTGTGTATTTTTCGGATGTATCTGAGTGTTTTGCGGCCTGGCATGCATTAAAATTTTAGCCGAGAAACAATGCCGCTGCCTGCGAGCCGAAAAACTTGCATAGAAATTAAGTTAGCCAAGGGGAAAAATGCTCACAAAGTGAAACAAAATATTTTCCTGCAAACCATCTTCTACCGTGATGTTTTTTTTTTCCCCCCCATTTGTTATTTGTTGAGTACGTTTTTTTAAGACGCAAATAAAGCCTGGCTGGGCATTGTTTGAGCCGTACCAAATGCTGATCCTATATTCTAGCTTCGCCGGCTCGTTGAAAGCTTACTCCAAACAAAGGCCCGACTGAATGCTCTGCCTTGCAGCTTGTTTGTACAGAAACTAAATTTAAATATTTTACTTTTTGCTTTAGTTGGCCCCCCAACGCTCACCCCCACCCCCACATGCGCCGCCACCCATCCTGGATTTCTCTCTATCCAATGTGACACGTTCTCGACGCTTTGGCCTGGTTCGCCCAACTGCCCCACAACTATGCCACAAGATAAAACAGCCCGCGAACTTTGCAACATGTTTACGGTAAAAACGTGATTTTCGGCACAAAAACCGGACCGGATCGGGCGCGGTACAGGCGCTTGACCAAATGTGGCCAAGAGGCGAACTCCGGCTCTAACCAAAACCCTTTGCCAACTGTAAATAAGTTGAGTTAAGCGGCGAGGCACGCGCGAGGCACCACCATAGCCCCGAACCCAGCCCCCCCCCACAGGCAAGGGCGAATGCCCAACCACAGCCATAAAAATTAAACATTTGTAGCTTTGTCACGTTTGTGTTGACACTTTCTTATCACAACGGGGCGGGGGTGGAATAAGTAAGGGGTCGGGCTCTGCCCCCGCACGCCACTCGACCCAGCCTAAATATGTGCGTGTGCGTGTCAGCTTTGACTGGCACTGCGACCCCCACCTGACCCCAGCTTGCATGAAACTTCAGGTGTGTGTGGGTGGGAGTTTACCCCACGCACTCGCACTCGCACTCGCACTCGCACTCCCTCAGTGACACATACATATGTACATATATAGCCACCATATGCTCTGCGATTTCATTAAAATCGGGCAAGTGCGGCAACGTGTCGGCTTGCGAGCCCTCTGCGGCATAATTTGTCGAATTCTATAATTAAATGGGATGGGTGAATCGGATTACAGGCAGCCGGCAGCGGCATGATCTTTGATTTGAAGTAGGCTTTTCGCGTACAACAAAAAATCAAATCAAAGGCGGAGTCAAAGCAACCAAAGCCCCTTCCATCAGGGATTGCAAGCGAAAAGCCGCATTTCCATTGCCATACTGAGTGCTGGATTTGCTTGGTTGGGAACGGAACTCTGGGGCGAAGGCAGCTTGGACATTGCCACACAATTGCCATCTCAGCTCAGTTTTGTGTTCTTCTTTTGTGGTCCCGCACCCGACACATGCGGCCGAGTGCCTGACCATATTCCTCGGTTCTCGGTCCGTGGCACAGGGCACATGCACTCTATTCTGACCAGCTCTCTCGGCCTGGGCTAGAGAGCACCTAATGCGTTGCTCCTGGCACCAAACTGGGCTTCGATAATTTAATTTGCATTTCGTATCCCCCGGATACTCTGGTTCGCATGCTGAGATACATTTTGTGGCTTCAATTTATGACATGCCATTTGAGTTTGAGCTTTAGTTTCCGTTTGAGTTTCAGTTTCAGTTTCGAGTGGGAGCTGAAGCAGGCGGCGGCAAGTTGTCGTCAACTTTGTTGCCATGCAACTTTAATGAGTTGACGCACGAGACCACAGAACTTGACACCCAAAGGCCTTAAATTGAAAAAGTTTAATGAGCATGCGTATTTGATTAAGGCAGAAAGACACTCACTCACTCACCCACTCCACTCACCTCACGCAGCACCGACACCCACTCACATCTCTAGTGGGTGAGAGGCATTTTTGTGTGGCGCTTGGTTGCTGTGGCTTCCTTTGTGCCCGGCGGGCCCATAATGAAACTTGCAGGGTGCACATTTATTGACAATTCCGACTTGGCTCTGAAGACTGCCTTTGACACCTGCTACCCAAAGGAAAAAAAAGTGTCCTGGCCAGGAGTGCAAAAAAAAAAAACAAAAAAAATCATATATCTTTTGAATTTTTCGTGAGCCATGGCCCATGGGGAAAGTCATGCCGTGTTTTCCCCCTTTCTCTACCACCCTCTGCGTGGAAGTTACCGAAAGTGCCAAAGGAAGCAGCAGGGTGACAAAAGTCCTGTGGCGTGGCATGGCATTGCTTATTGCTGGCAATTCAATTAAATGCAGAGCTGCATGAAATACACTTTGAAGGCGATGCAAGCAGGAGATGAGCACTTGCCGCCGGCCAGCACCTGTAAGAAAGTTCCTTTTCCAGCATTTCCAGCAGATTTTTTCTGGCTACGAATAGGAAATCCATAAAATGCATCACATGCCATCAAAGGCTCAAAAGTTTTTTTTTGTCGCTCTGCCGCAACATACGAGTGCGAAAAGGAATACCAGAACGAGTTTAGGTGCCAGGACATTTATTATGCGGCAGGCGTAGTGCGGATTTTCGGGGCTCGCACTGCGTATTTGTCTCAATTGCAATCAAACTTTCTGGCTCTTTCCATTTTGTTCAGTTTCGTTCTTTCTTTCTGCAGTCACTCCCTTTTTTTCTTTATTTTTTTTTTGTCACGCAAATTGCACCAAAGTTGGATTGACTTGGGCGGGAAATTAAGTTGATGGTTTCCTCTTTGCCACTCACCCAGCCTCAAGTCTCAAGTCTCGGCACTCGGCACTCGGTACTCGGGGTCCTGTCCTCCCTTTGTCAGTTTGCCTGAGTGTTTGTTTTATCCGTGCAACTGCTGCTGCTGCTTCTGCTGCTCCTGTTGAGTTGCCAGTCAGTTTCGCCGCCTTCCCAGACTACTCAGCCCTCTGCCTTGTACTTACTTATTTAACTTGCAATTTTGTCAAAATTTCGCAAGCATATTAAAAAGTTTTCGGATAGCTTGTAAGTGGCGCACTTGCCTGAAATAATAGCAGACTCCTGGCAAGGATGCACTCTT